ACATATATTCTGCATCTTTCTACAAGGATTTTGCAGTGATGAGTGAAAGATTGTATTCTGAATGCACGTCATAGGTGCCAGGACTGCCTGAATATAGCTTATGAAGGGCTGCAGGGACAGACACTGAGGTGCGGTCCTCGCTGATTCAAGTTTTGGAATGAAATAGTGATATCTTGTACGTGTACTGCAGCTCAATTGCAGACATATGCAAGACTGATGGTAATCAACTGTATCACATTTCTAGAAAGACCAGAGATAGAAAGATCCGTTTTCCCATAAGTACAACAAACCTTAGAAAATGGGAGAATTTAAGCCGTCATTCAAATCCTTCCAAAGTAACTGCAGAGCAAAGGGCCAGATCACAGTGTCCTCCCCTCGGCCCTCTCATCTCTTCGGCACTATGTGTGTAACACCCTCTGATTCTTGTCTGTTTCAGTTCACTAACTCCCACTTGGCTCTGAAAGGCTGGCCTGGTGTACCTTATCTCGCTCGAGGTAGGGGCCTCACTGTCACACTCGTCTCTTCCCTGTTTCCCTCACTTCGTCAACCTTCCATGTTCATCCTTCCCCATTACAAGTTGCGAATTTCAGTGTAACTTTGTCAGTTGTATAAGACCGGGCTTAAACCTTTTTCTTGATGCAGATCCGGATTTCCTAAATGTATGTAGCAATATATAACCTCAAGTTTTTTTTAATTTATTTTTTTTTATTCACTGCCTCAAAATCTCTCAATCTGTACATTACTTTTGAAATCCACATGTTTATACAACAGCAAAGTTCTAAAATCTAAATGCTTGGTATCTCATTACGATCATTGCTGCTAAGACTGCCAATTTAAACTTCAGTCGGTCTGTAAAAAAAAAAAAAAAAAAAAAAAAAAAAAAAAAAAAGAGATAAATAAATAAATGAAAAAAAAAATCCTAAATGGCTGTTACTCCATGAAAATAAAACTGAAATCCGTACTTCAGCAGCTTCCCTCTCTTTCTGTCTGTGGTTGTCATCCCGGATTACTAACCCAATACCTGAGCTCTTGTCAGAAAAAGGGTAACATTGCTAAGAGGCTGAGCCCACTGTCCTTTGGCAGTTCCAAGACTAGGAGAGCTTTTTCTGTATACTGCTGTGTATTTTATTGACCTCTTGAATATTTCATTTTATTAAGACATTCCATAGTAATTGTGGCTGCTGTCTATATGCTAAAGTAAAATGCTTATTATTTTTTATTTATTAGTTGTTGGATACCCTACAATATTAAAATTCCATGCAGTGCCATTCCATTGCTTCCAATGTCCACTTCTACAACATCATGACACTGTTGAATGAAGTTTTGACATTGCAACATCTAAAGCAACCAATCCAGCCTGGTGGATTAGTATTTCATCTTAATTTCCTGTGAAATTCTTCTGAAACAAAGGACTTTCATTCCATCAGCAGTAATCTGAGAGTTGTTTTCTGAAGTACAGGGCTTGGAATGTATCATTATGAAAGTGATACTCACTATACATTTTGAACTATTCGCCTAAAATGTACGTATTATATCCGCTTTAAGATTTGTGTTAATAAATGTAATTCACTAGAAATAATGATTCATTTCTGCCCTGTATCATGTAAATATACTATGTCAATGTTTTTGATTAGCATTAGAAATAAGATATTTATGAAATACCTTTACAGAGAAAATGATAATAATGGTAATGAGCAAAATTCTCAACATGAACATCAAGAGAGTGTAGTAATGGTAGTATTGTACTTCATTTAGTAGACTAGAAAAGAGATAAGGTTACTGTTGCAATTGCCGAGAAACTGCTTTCACTGTTATTATTTAGAAATCTGTTAATATTTCCTTTACGTTTTAGTAATATTCCTATTAATGTTTTATGTGTCTGTCATGGCTGTAATATCTATAACATCGTCTGCTAAAAAATGTGAACTACAGCACTAAGTTTATGTTTGACTATATTAGATTTGTAGTGCGATACCAAATAACCTTTGGACTATTTTTCCAGGGAAAGCTGCAAGGTTGATACACCCTTTGTGAAGACCTACGCAACACTGGGTTACTTGTAGCAGAGGTTACACACACTAGCCAAAGCAGGTCCGAGCTTAGTAGCAGCTGAAACCAAGCTGTGATTGCGGTTTAGTAATTTTGTACTGAGCCAGGATGGTACTGGAAGAGAAAAAGAAGGTGGGCATGGGAAGGAGCTGAAGATTTGTTAGTAGTTACCCTTCGAGCATGGAAGAGACTGGAAAGGTGTCGACAGGTCTGGATGCAGAGAAGGAACAGGGAGAGCACAAACCGTGAGCTTGAATGAGAAGCAAAGAATAGCGTCTAGTCAGAAGCACGTCTCCCTGAGGCTGAGTGCCCACAGCTGAGCCCTTGAAATGCACCGCCAGTGAGGCGTGCACGAGGCATAGACGACAGGCGAAACTTATGGACTGTTAATGATTTGAGGGCCGTGTAGCCCTAATGTTGATGGCGCCAAGGAAGAAGATTATGACGCAACCATGTTCCTCGCGTGGGGTCTGCAAAGCAAGGCGTCTCTGACTCCCTTATCTCCAACAGCATGCAAAATTACATTGAAGTGTTATGATGTCCATAACCATTACCAAATCAATTATAAAGTCAGTATTATGACCAGCATGGTTGGAATGAGCCTTTCAGAGCCGGCTTGCTAAATTGAGAGGATGGGTCAGACCTCCGCGAACATGACCATCTGAACTGGTGAGCCTTACGTCTCCTTCTTTGGCTGAAGCTTCGAGTTGTAGAATGGAATGGACTGGCTTGTCGAAGGGAGATGGGTGATATCACTTGTTTGTTGGTTCTGCAAGAAGAAACGAAAGTCGAGGAGTGTGAAGGTGAATCATACCTCGGAGTGGAAGGGCAATTACTCTTACAGGTCCTAATGCTTCTTAACATTCCTTTAGATTGATTAAGAACTCTTGAGCTGGTGAGACCTGTCTTGGCCCAATACAGCATTGATGCCACAATCACACGCTTGTTACCTAGGTGCAAATTAATTGTGTAATATGTGTTACATGAAGATGATTGACTTTAAGATCCTGAGACTAGAAGTGGTCATTGTCCAGCATTTTGTGCACTGAAAAGTTACATTTACCTAGTGGAAACTATTGTAAGCTCTAAGTGGGAAGTAATGGCATATACTGTTGTGAATTGAAGACAAGTCCTTGGTAAATAATTCATTATTACAATATAGGAAATTCAACATGGATTAGTATAGCATTCTTCAGTATTAGATCGAAGTGGCACAAAAGTAAAACTAGACAAAAATCAACAATTTAATGTAATTTAGATCACCTTTGTAGACTGGTAAAACATCAATAGAGAAGCATAGACTATTCTTGTTCATTCCAGTTGTTTTCGAACTAGGGATGTGACTGAGTCGTAGGCGGCTGATCGCTAGGTGTGAGTGTGTATATAATTGTTTCATGTTGTCTTGAGTGGTATAATCGTCTGTGCACAGCGCTTCTTCACGTGCGGGTGAGGGCATATCTGGGCGAGAGGGCATGCCTTCAGCTGAGATCCCATTACTACTTTTTTTTCTTGAGCTGGGTAACTTTATCCAATGTATAATTTCCTAAACATTAAGAGTAGAGCAAGAGAAACATTACGATATTGTGTAAACAGCTGAAAAGTTATCCATAAGAACGAAAATGGCAGTTAAGGAATAATGAGGTTACACCATCAGCCACCAGCTGAAGGCAGGGCCACTAAGTGTTACCAACAAGCTAACAATGGTACAACGATACCAAAAATACCTTAAATGAATACCTGTTTACCTTGATATTTTCATAAGATATAATTGTTTGTCTAATTCTATTTGTTATTCAGTTGAAATATTAGGCAAAAATAACATGTTAAATTAAACTAGAAAATGTTATAGAACCAAAAGCGTATATTTTGTAAATTAGTATTAACCAGCCATACTTGGCACGGACGTATGGATTTCCATAAATGCTTTTCTTATGTAAAAGTTCAGATTCTGAGAAAGAAATGTAATCATAATGCAGATACGGTTAATCAGCTGACTATATGTAAATTTACATATTAAGGGATATTTTACCCGCTGAGGATCACTTACGATGATCCTGGTGTATTTGTTACCAAGTTCTGTCTTAGTCAGCTGTCATAATTCAAAGAAAATATGAATAGGTATTGAAGTGTAAGAGGAGTGTTACTATTGGTATATCATTTTCACGAAGCATTATGTAGATGACTCATATGTTAAGATCACTTGACCTTCACCCGTTTGTGCATGGCCATAGAAGCCATTCTCGGTGGACCAAGACATGCATCATATGCCAGTTGTACATGTTCATGGAAGATTGGCGATTTCAGGAAGACACCAGAGTTTCCACATCAGACAGATCCTGGACAAAATTGAAGTTTTACTCCTTTTTGGTATAAGTTCAAAGTAAGAGCGTGTTTCGCTGGCCTGATTTGTATGATAGAGTAGCGTTCTTGTGTTTTCAGCTAAACGAGGGGGCCCAACACCTCCTGGGATCGTCAAGCCTTCGATGCGCTTTTTATTTCATTTGCTATTGTTGCCACCATACGTGAAGCTATTTTGAAATATGAATATGTTTGTAACAAATACTTGCAACTTTTGTATTGTTTAATTGGCATGATATAAGTTTTAAACTTAAGCCTACCAGAGTTGTTGAAAGAAAATTTATATTAAACTTCCTCAAAAATTTGTGCCAAGGCAATCGATTACCGTTTTGTAGCTTAAATTGTATATTTATACCAATAATATTATCTCTTTCACTTTTATGAAATCACCTTAACTACAGTTCTTTCTAGCGTAGTATCATGATCTTTGTGTTTATGTGTGATGTCAGACAGGGCTAAATCACATTTCTTGTTTTTCACTGCACAGGACAGTAGCTCCATGTCCCACTAGATTAATGCAGTGATTGCTTATTTTGCTTTCTATTGTGCATCAAGTTTCACTTATAAATAAAATATAAGTTACTCATATGTTATCTTCTTATTCAGTAACCTTCTGTGTCTGAAAAATTAAACCAAGAATTAGATACAGTATATCAATAATGAACATACTCCATCAACACCAGCTACGTCAATTGGCAACCCACATTTTAGATATGAACTGTGCTCCTAACTAGTCTTTTAACGAAGGATGTTTAATGAGATGCATGACAATCTAGCTGTTTTTCTTTTTTTCCCATAATTTCATGATGATCGAAATGTTGCAAGTGTTGAACAAAACTTAACATACTTAAAATTGAACATGAGAAATAATGTTAATAAATATGAATACTGTATAAACACCATGTTCTCATTCTCCTTAATTTCCAGGAATAAAGAGGTCTTGCAAACCTATTATTATGAGTCCCAACATTTTCCCTTATATGGCACACATCTTTCAGTATTCCTAATAGGCCAGTCTCAACTACAGTTTGCAAGCGCACTAGTAACTGGCCTCAATGAACTGACCTGTAATAGAGATGAAACTAGTGAACACTGACTCTTCTTTATCATGAATTACAGTACTTTAGAAAATGGATAAAGGGCTACCAGTCATACCCGTATGCCTATGCTGTCACTTATTATCAAGATATGTATATTTTATTATACAGTTACGCAGTGAATCAGGGGAAAACAGTCCCTACCACAACCAAGGTACTATGTTTGTTTTTTTCCTTTAAACCTCCTCAGTGCATTTGACGCTGAATGACTTGCTGTAATAAGCCAAATCTTCCTGAAATTGTAAAAAAAAAAAAAGTAAGTAAAAGTATCTTGAGTTTTCATTTTCGTTTTACATCGCGCTCTTGGCTATGATGATATTCAATGGCACGGAGCCAAAGATTCTGGTGTGTCTCTATTCCTCACAGGTATGCCAGAGTCGACCATGAACTGCCCACAGACCAGATATATCCTTGACATATATATATATATATATATATATATATATATATATAATATATATATATATATATATATATATATATATATATATATATATATATATATATATATATATATATATATATATATTATAGAAAAGTGCATTTTGCTTCATTAAAACAGTGAATGTATATTTATAAAGCAGAACAAAGACGCATGGCGAATGTACAAAAATAAAAAAAAACTAACTAACTTATAAAACATAAAAAAACACTAAAAGTTACAGAAAAGAACCCGCAGAAGGTCAAGGTAAGCCAATCTTAAAGAAATTAACATCAAATACAGTCGGCTAAAAGGAGTCTGGAAATGCATGCATCCATCTTTTACTGACAATGCATGGCATCACTATTCCCTGACAAAGAGCAGCCTCCTAGCCCCTGTTCATCACTGTCACTACAGTATTATCCTCTAACGCACTACAATCTCATGATTATTGACATCATCATTGGTAGAAAAATACAATACACAGACTAAATTTACTGAAAATGAGAACAGTTTCCGACTCCTCCTGGATTCCATTTTCAGATCTGAACAGGAAAGGGAGAAGGATAAGTCCGATATGCGAAGCTGAGCCTCGCCCGGGCTATGCCTATGAGGGTAGCCCGGCCTGTATCGACTAATGCCGACTCGCTAAAAGAGGAAAGGAAGAGGAGGGAGTATAAAAGAGAGACAGGAGAGACAACGCGGTTAACACGGGCAGGTGAGGACAGACGAACGAAGCGAAGGGAGGGTAGATCGGAGGATCAAGTGGTCTATACGAAGGGTGGCCGGCATAAAGGAGAAAGCGGAGGATGTGGGAAGGTAGGAGACTATCGGCAAGAGAAAATTCCCTGTTCAAGTTGAAATGAGGCAGCAGCTTGGTTAAGGAGGATTCCACCAGTCCGCGGGCATGGATATCAGCGGAAGGAAAGACATTTCGCTCAAATGACCATTCTATCTGAGAGCCATTTGTCCCACTGATGGCAGAAGAGAGCGTTGTTGTTATCTCCCCTAGATGCAGCATATTTGTTTTAAGACAGTCGTTTAGTGAGACATAGATTATTATTAGCTTTATTTCGTTATAATTATCATCTAACAACTTTACCACTGTCACTGTCCTGTTTTGTTGATTATGATTGTTGTATTCTTTGTTGGTTTGTTTGCTTTCTAACGATTCAGATTGCTAGTATAGGTATGTATTAACCCTTACACTTTGCATCAGCTACAACAGTATTTCTTTTCACTCTTCGCGAAAGAGTTGCACAAAAAGTTGAGTAACATGGCAACCTCGAGGTCAAGTGTGGCGGCCCCGGCGTGAAACTGATCCTGGCAATTGTTGCGGAGGTCTGAGTACTCCTTCAGATGCGTCAGGTTACGGCGGTAGAGGTCGTTGCACTCCAGGACGGTCGCCAGGTAGTGCGGCAGCGTCGAGTCCCACCACCACGCTCCTGCGGGCCGACCGCTCGACCCCTTCGCTGCCTCCGGAATGGTGCGGGATGCTGGAGCGCCCGCGACGTCGGGGGGTTCGTCCTGAAGCTCTTTTTCCAGGTAGTGCTGCAGTATCCTCTCGCTGAGGTC